CACAGATACAGTACCACTTGCTTTGGTCTTTGGTTCCCCTCTCCCCACAGAGACCGCTCGATTTGGTGGTGGCTCCCGGACCACGTCTCACTCCGGGTGGCCGGCCGCTTGCGCTTCAATGCCTTCAGCACGTTCGGCAGCAGCTTCGACGCGCCGAAGCGCTGCGCCGAGGCCAAGGCCTCCAGCAGCAAACGCCTCCGGCCGTGCGAGGGAGGAACCGCCCGGGGGGGGAGTCTGGGGTTGGCTGCGGAGGTGTGGGGGGGAGCGATCTTCTGCAGCCGAAGTGGTTGCAAGATTGGTCTCTGGTTTCTCCATGGACCGTACCCAAAAGTGGAAGACTGGAGTGCCTTACTAGTAGTAACAGGTGCCTTACTAGTAGTAACAAGAAGCTAGTAGTAACAAGTGCCTTACTAGTAGTGCACGAACTTCGGTTCTGGACACTTCGGAGTCACGACGGACGGGGTGCCACAGGTCCATCCCGCGGTGTTGGGATGGTAGCCTCGAACTCCACCCTGCGGAGCGTATCTGGTCGTGTCCGGTTGAACTGGACTCTGTGATATCTTGTGATCATTGTATACTTGATCCTACGAGCCACCATATATCTTGTGATATTTTGGTATCATGGTAGGTATTTAGCACATCTTCACCATACCTACCCCTTTTCCTTTGAGACTCGACTCGCGCGAGGCACCGAAGACAACCAAACCGAAGAAACCGTGTGCTGTGAGAACCCAAACCATCCAACAGTCCCATGTCTGGTGCCGATTCCCAAGCGCGAACAACGGTTCGTCACAGTCGGTCGTCGAACCGCGCCGGTCGCTGTCCGCGGCCGTGGCCGTTGGGTTTTCGTGTGGAGCGCTTGAGGCCCACCCTTTGTTCTTCACGTCGTCGAAGAAGAAGTGCTGCAAATCCTCAAGAATGCCACCTGCACGGCTTCTGCGCAGGCACAGAAGCATCAGCGAACGACCCCATGGTGGGAAAGTACCATAATCACTGCAGAAGTGGAGAGAGCGATGAATAGAACCAAATCATCATGATCTCTCGAACGGTTTTTTCATTCCCAAGGGATGGTCGGGCTGGTTTTCTTCGAAGCTTTGAACGGATGGAAGGTCTACACCCTCCGATTCTCCAAAAGACTAACTGGGTTGAGTGAGTCAAAAAGATTTGACCAAAGGCTTCTAGGACCTTAGAGGCTTGCTGAGGCTTTGACCACTGGCCAAAGCTTTGGTCTCAAAGACACTGCGGAAGGAAGAGGGGGGTGGGTCAGCTGGGTTCACCCCGACCAAACGAACGAATTTCACGCCAAACCGTGTCGAAGGTTCAGTCGCCTTGGTCGGGTGCCAAGCTCTGACAGCATCGGTTTTCAGCCGAACATTCACAGCGACACCGCCTGTCATGAGCCTGCCATGAGCCTGAACGACATGGACATTTCAACAAAAAACACACATGTTCCTATTGGTCAGTTTTGGGTACGTTCCATGATCTACTTGCAGGATGCCCACCGTCTCAACCGATGGTTGACTAAAACCAGTGGCCCAGCATGCGGACACCTACGGTGCTGACCATTGCTTCACCCAAGGCTTCTTCATGATATATATATATATATTATATATATACTTCTGTTTGGTCCCTTTCTTCCTTTTGGGCTAGACACTCTCCCAAGAATGACCACTCCACCAAACAGGCACTGCCCACCTGTGGCAGGATTTCCCCAGGACTCGTTGAGGTGCACCGCCACTTCGGAGCAGATCTGCCAGTCCGACACGGCCCAGAGCCGTCAGAGCCGTCCGGAGATGACCGAGAAAAAGAAACCCCTCCGATGGGGCTACTGTTCGAACAAGCAGTTACCGCTGCTAGTAGTGAGTAGTGTTCGTCTCTGAGTAGTGTTCGTGGGAGGTTTGATTTCGTCAACACATGGAACGTGCATGCTCCAATTTTTCTGATTTGTAGGCTCCACCCCGTCCTTGGGCGAGGTCACTTCCCACAGTCTGTCATTTCCAAAAAGGATGACCTGTTCACTGGCTAAAGATCAATGTGTGAACAACATGGTCGAGGGATGCCTAGGATATGTTTGACACTAAATGGCACTTAACTCTTCATTCATCGTTTTCGTGGTCTCTAGAGTGTTTCCCAAACCAGTCACACATCATGCTTCTGGAGATGTTTCTCCTTTTGGGCAAACTGCACCCAAAAATATTTGATAAGATAAGATTAAAACCACCATCATGAGATGCATCAACGCATGCAACGGTTTCTCAAATTTTAGCTCTTAAAGTCACACTTGAACATCCAACTGGCGATTCCGGCTCAAACTTCCACCCGGAACTGAACAAATTTGCTTTTGAAGTTCTCGGGCGTGCTCGCATCTCAAACACTTTCCACAAACTATGTCTCCCTCAAAGGTCTTTGGGCGATTGAATTTCACCATCCATTTGCTCACCGCTCCGACCCAAGGGCTTCCGCCCAAACCTGTTGGAAAAACATATGAACTAAGTAGCTACGTGGGTGGTGCAGATCAAACATTTTTTGAACCTGGCCTTACTACTAGGAACAATGTTCGCTACTAGTGGCTCCTGGCATCGCTACTAGGAGCAAGGACGCTACGAACGGAGCTTTTTCTGACCTTCATGGTTTGAATCCTCACAGCTTCACCGTGCCCACTCGCCTCCGCGTGCACTGACCGCCATCGCGTGCCGTTCGTGCCCCCCTCCCGGAGCGCGTGGCCCAGTGCGCGCGCGGCGGCCAAGCGGACGGCGCACGAGGCGTCGTGGGCGGCCGAAGCACCTTGAGAAGTTGAGGGGTCAATTTGGTGGAAAGCGCGTTTACTGATTGCTAGTGGGAATGGGGTCTTAATTGGAACATGTTCTGTGTGTTAATTTTCCAGATAGCTGATCGCTCGAGGGGTCGACCCCTCTTCTGTGAAGCAGGCCCTTCTGCTCGCAACTTCGTTTGGGCACTTGGAGCCTGGGAACCCAAGGGGTCACCTTTTAGGGTCCTGGTGAAAGCTGGATGAGGGATTTGCACACATCTTGAGGTCCCATTAGGCAGACAAACAGACACGAATGGAGAGGACCGGAGCAAAGAAGAGAGAAAAGGCAAATGAGGCAAAGCAAGGAGGGCAGAGAAAAGATCAATTCGGATTACAGAGAGAAAGCGAGAATCAAGAGAGAGAGAGAGAGAGAGTGGGGCACCATCCAACATGTGTAATGCAAAAAAGCAATGTTATATTAGTTTGCAAACGAATGACCTTAAGGATATAGCTTGATACTTGCAAATATAAATGCAAACACGTATATAAATATATTTTGGGTCTATCCCAATACCTGTAACAGTGGATGATGATGGTTAGGTACCAGGCCTTGTTCAAAAATAGTCTTGTTTACTGACGGCTCTACAGGTAAGAACGGACAAACCCAATATATATTATAATACTAATATATCTTGTTCTTTTTGAAGAAGCCGGGCTGACGCCACCAGCTTGGAAAGACCCTCCACTTGACGAGGGGATCCTTGACTAGCCAGGCTTGGTTCCGGGTTTCGATGGGATCCTCGAATCGTCGGATCACGTTCTGTCCCTTTTTTCCATCATGTCTTGCAACATGTCTTGTGCTAACCTTAACGTATTGATACAGATGGGCCCGGAAAAAAACAGCTGGGTGGGCGAACTGCTGGGCTTGGTGCCCTTTGCACTTTGCCACTGTTTTCCAAACATCGGCCAACGAGGACGCTCCCGTCTGGACAGCGTGCGCAGTGCGCAGGCTTTCCGCGGCTTCTTGCACAGTGTGCTGAAACCGCAACGACCCTTTCAAAGTTGGACATCTTGACAAAAGGGATGACCTTCCTCTCCAGTCATAAGAATTGCACAAACCAACTTTAACATACTAGTAGAACATGCACCCAAAACGCCGCTGTAAACAAACGTTTTATAAAACAAGTCTCAAGATGTCTGGCCTGCAGGCAGCCAGTGCCTATCTCCGAAATTCCAGGGTGCCCCGTCGGCACGGATCTTCGCTATTTATGCGAGCAAAAATTCTCCAGGCCAAGCAGTTGAAGGTCTTGCAAGGAGGGAGCTGCTGCTCTCGTGCATAGATGCTCAGCGCTTGAGAGATCTCATCTTTTGAATATCCATGGCAGTATTCTCCGCTCGTTTCCTTCTTCTCTGAAAGGAGGCCTGCATTCTTGAGTATGCCAATGATGCTCTTCATTTGGTTTGCAGCTGCTGCTGGCTGTTGCCACTCGCCCGGGTATGCACTGGAAAGAAATGCGGCGCGCAGTTTCTCTTCGACATCCCGGCTGCAGTCAGAAGCCTCGGGCAGCAGGTCCATCTTCCGCAACACATACTTGTTGCAAGCTGTATTGACAAAACACAGCATGGCTTCATATTCGTCAGGGTTCCATTCATCGAGGTAGCGAAGCCGCTTCAATGCTTGAATCGTCAGGTCTTTGGAATCTTTCAAGATAAAAGGTCCGCCGCCTCTAAAAATCGCACGTGCGAATGTATTTCCATATGTCATTCGTGTGGCATCAGTGGCTCCTCTACCTCCGTGAGTTGGCAACAGAAAGGCCAACTGATCAGAATTCCTTTGCCAAGATGCGGTCTTGGAAGCCTTGATTCTTTTGTGCACTGCAAGTGTCAAAGTCGGAGTGGGGTAAACAATGAGTCGTCCTAAACCATTGACAAACCAGAACTTGGTGCACGCTTGTCTGGGGTGCCCCGAATATCCCAAATCTTCAAGGAATGATTTCACCCGCTGAAACTTCTGCTGAACGCTTGGTCCGTCTCCTGTAAAGGGATCTGAAAGTTGCACTGAACCAGCTCCATCTTCATGAAGGATTGCTTGAACACGTGGATGGCCGTCACTGTGTTTCAACTCCAAGACTTCAAGTCCATTTTCTTGGTATTTTGCTGCCACACCAAGATCGGACTCAGGAACCAGCACCAAATAGCTGGGGTTTGTGTCCGCCAGCTTCAGCATGATACTTATAAAATCTGTATCTCGGGTCAACAAGGCAATGCGATGTACAGCACGACGTGTGGAAAGCTTCTGCATCGCAGTTTCGATCGCCTCGTCATTGGGCTCTCTCGAGTGATCTTTCGAACGAGGAACTGGTCGGAATGTGATGCCAGGCTCTTCCAGAAACTCACACCACTTCTTGTTTTCAGTTCGCCGGGGTTCCGCGAAAATTTGTGTGCGAACATGGCCGCCAATGTTCTTCAAACGGCTTATTGCATGCTTGACGAGTTCAATGCTCCCACAATCTCCATCCACCAGAAACTCGATGATTGGTGATGAGGCCCGTGCCACCTGATCAAATCTTCCAGCTGGTCCAAGCTGCTTGCCGCACCTCTTTTTTTCCTGCACTCCTACACCAGCTAAACAACTCAGGCACCATGGCCACTGCTTACGATAAGGCCAGTCAAAGCCTCTGCCGCCAAGCAGGCGATGATGGCAAGTACCTCGCAGCCCTCCGGCTGAGCTTTGGGGTCCGCTGCATGGCCCAGTGGGGCGACTGCAAACAGAAACACCAGCTCCATGCCACATGTGAGTG